AGCTTAGTAACTCTACTTCAATTTGTTATTATAATACTACGTTGAAGTCTGAGATGTATAATGTCTGTTTTATATTGTAAAAGAATTATCCAACATGACAATAGATCGAATTTGGATGGTTTATTTTAATGGAAAAATTATTGTTAAAACATCATGTATTGATGTATATTATTATTATTGTAAGCTATAACTACAAATACAATACGGTGAAAGGGTAGAACGAAAACTCGATGAATATAAAAGTACACACATACACAGACATACACACATACTTTCATTTATATAAAACATAATTACCTATATTTTATACCTAGTTATAACAATTCCTTGCATACCTATACTAAACATATAATATGTATGTATGACATAAATTAAGGCCCAAATGATATTTGTTTGATTTTAGGTTTTTTTTTTCAGAGGCTTGTTACATTTTACTTTTTTAAATGTTGTTATAGTATTAATMGATTTTTTTTTTCTTTACTGCAAAACTTTAACGAGAGAATGTGTACATTTGAACACAGTGGAGAAGGTATTACATGAGTACATGACTAATCACTGTCATTACTGGTACTTTCTTTACAAGCGTTTAGAAACAGCACTTCTGAACAATCTGAGCAGCTCTCTTATTACATAATGAGCCATGATCACGGTCATAAATTGATCAATACATTTTATATGGTTAATTACGTCACATTTTTAATTGATAAATGATTGTAACACATAGTGTTTCATTGACAGTGTAATCATTATTATATTACAATTATTATAATATTATACAACAATACATTATACCGTAATACGACATAAACCATTGAATATTTTATTAACTACGACCATGGCGTGTTAATAATATCAAACTTTACCTTACCACGTGATTCGTAGAATTTATACAAAACACATACCTAGTATTAAAATATAATTATGTATGTATTCTAGCTTAYCACATAGTACACATCACATTATACTGATTCATTTTCGATTGCGCGAAATACATAGGATTGCACTTTTAGTAATACACTGCCAGTCTTGTATTAATCTGCATCACTGACCCATATSAGTTCATAATACAAGTACCAAATCACATTATAAAAATATCTATACGAGCACACCAATTTTACTTACAGATTATATTATAATTTATTATAACATTAAAATGTGTCATTAAAGTGACATCTTGCAAGCATAAAAACGTTAACATAAGTCAATTAGGTACATTTAAATTTTGARTACTCATACTTAATAGTATATACTATAGTATGAAATTAGAGAAAAAAATAATAAAACGCATATTACGATAATTACRTGGGATCATTTTAAAACATTATTTATAAACAAGTAAATAAATAAGTTACGATAATTTAAAAAAAAACAAAATATAGTAATTTTGTAATTGAATATCACGAAAATCATGTGGTTCTAAACCAATTATCA